TCCTCCTCTTCCTCCTCCTCCTCTCAAGCATCGGCCCGGGGCACTCCGCAAGCGTATTGGCTTAATTTGGCATGGCTGTGGAGTCGCGCTTTGCATCCCCACGCGGTGTTAAAGGGACATCGTGGTCGGCCGGCGCGTCTTGCATGGGCGGCCTTGTCGCGTTAACGAAGCAAGGCAAAGAGTCAGGCGGTCGTTCGCCGTGCGCAGGGTGGTATACCCATCGCGGGGCCTCTGGGCCGTCATCCCCTCCACGGCTCTTTTTTATCAGGGTCCGCCCCGGGTTGCAGGTCGTGGGAGGTCCCGCGGGTGCCGAGCCCCTCCTCCCGGCCGCCGGATCGCACTTCAGCGTGCTGGCTGAGCGGATTGTTCCGCCTTCGCATGTTGTTGTTTGGTAGTGGCCAGTCTCGCGAGTGCTCTGGTGATCGGCTCTTGCATCGCTCTGCAGCTTCCATGTTCGGCGCCATGGCTGTTTTCACGCGTTGTGCGCTGGCCAGTTCGCTTCTCGGTGCCCCCGTTGAGCTCCATACGCTGGTACAGCCAACTCTGCCTCGCCGCCGACGAAAAATTGTCACGCGCTGTTGCTAGATATTGGTCAGCTTTGGTGAAAGCTCCGGTGATCAGCGGGCTACCGCTCTGCACCTTGCCTCATCCGGGCCAAAATATGCGAACACATGAACAGCTGCGTGTTCTCAGTCAGGCATGGGCGCTAGTGTGGTGGCTTCGCTCATAGTGTACGTGGGGACTCGCTTCCCCTTCTTGGACGCTGTCTTCGTCCGCTGGCTGTCGCGGCGCACTCAGGATTCAAGCAGCGTGCGAAGGCTTCCGTTCGGCGCCGCCTTCTTGTTTTTGTTTCCCCGCGTCGCTGGAGAAGCTCCGGGGGGGGTGCTGGGTTCGTGACTTGGTCGCTTGACGGCATCACTCTCATTATCTTGCTCCCCCCCGCCCGCACTCTACCCCCCTGCCATCACGCCCCCCCCTTCCTCCTCCTCTCCTTTGCTTTAGTGTCCCCAACACTACCCCGGCCCTCCCGACTGCACGGGTCCTTCTCCTCCGTTTCTCACCTCCCTTCTCCTTCCGCCCGTCCTCCATCCCTCCTCCTCCTACTTATTCTCCGCTCCTCCTCCGTCCTCGCTCCTCCCCCTCCTCCTCCTCCTCCTCTTCTCCCTCCTCCTCCTCCTCCTCCTCCTCCTCCTCCTCCTCCTCTTCCTCTTCCTCCTCCTCCTCCTCCTCCTCCTCCTTTTCCAGTGGCCAGGAGTTGCTTCAGTTGTCCAGGCCTTGGGCCCGTGTTCGAGACCCCATTGCGGCCCTCATTCTCACGTGTGCTCGAGTGGGCCTTGTTTTTGAGGACCCATGGACCCTGAAGGAGGCCACGGGGGAGGTTTGGGATCTTCACCAGGTCTCCCCAGCGCTCCTGGCCAGGAGGGCCCGATTCGCTGCTCGGCGTTTCTCGGACAAGGAAGGACTGGCCAAGATTGACCTTGGTCAGGGCTGGTCGGGTGACATCTTTTGGCGGCCTTTGAATGAGCTTCTGCATAGACGCTGGAAGCTCGATGAGGGTGACGGTGGGAGAGGCGGGCGGTGGGGGATTCGTGAGCAGAGGACTCTCCGAGGTCTTGTGATTGGCTCGCATTGGTGTCAAGCGCGGCTTCACAGACATGACCCTGCCCTGCCGTCGCACTGTCTCCTATGTGGGGAAGGTATCGGCAGCCTGTTCCATCGTCATTTTGATTGCCCCGCTAGGCTAAGCTGGCGTCGTGATAACTTGCCGCAGGACCTGGATGGCCCAGTGAGGCGTTTGCGGGTAGGGCCAGCGCACCTGCAAGAAAGGTTTGCTAGGGGGATCCTTCCCGACCCTTGCCAATTTTTCTCCCGACCTGGGTGGAACCCTGAGTGGGAGTTCAAGGTTGAAGGTCAAGCGGCGCCGCTGGCGCTAGATGGTGGCCATGTTTTTTTGTGATGGCTCTGGGGTCGATGTTTTTTTTCCCGTCCTTTGGGGTTGCTGGTTGGGGTGTGGCGGTTTTCGACCAAGATCGCCGACCCCTGGCGGGGTGGTATGGGGCGGTCCCCCCACCACAAGGCCCCGACCAGGTAGCCAGAGACGGGGAGGATTACGCCATCCTGATGGCCCTGAGACATCTAGTAGGCAGGTATACGATTTATTCCGATTGTAAAGGCACAATTCAATGTTGTAGGAATGCCAGAAATGCGCAGAGAGATAGCAACACTCGGGCACACATCTGGAGACAGGCATTCCGTGAAGGAGCACCCGCTTTGGTGAGTTTTTGTAAAGTGGCGGCCCACACGTCGATGACAGATGTGCGCGAAGGACGAATCAGCCACTTTGAGAGGGAGGGCAATGCCGAAGCCGATCGACTTGCGAAGTCGGGGGCGGAGCTATGTCGTTGCCCGTCCAATGTGGTTTTGATGACCAAAGACATGCTCCATGTCTCACGCCTGCTCCTTCAGTTCATTCGTAGGGCTGAAGGCCACTATGTTCAGGAAGGCAGGTGGGGCAACGTGGGGGCCCAAGGGCTCACAGAGATCTCCCTGGAGGGGGGATCCGACTTGGAGGAAGCACTTGAGGCGTTGAGGAGGCAGGAGGGGGGAGGAGGTGAAGCTGCTGCTGCTCCTGCTCCTCATCCTGACCAGCCCCCACAGTCCTCGAGACCTCCAACGGAGCCCTTGGTGCCCGAGCTGCTGGCGTTGGCAGAGGATGCCCGCCAGACCCCTGCCTTCTTAGGGGGGCATGCCTTACTTCAGTTCACGGTTGAAGACAATCAGCCCCCCATCTTTTTTTGTTCAACCTGCGGGGGGTAACCCGAGTTAGCGATTAAGGACCCCCCCCCCTCTCCGGTGAAAGGATAACGCGCCCGGCACCCGGAAGCGTTATCCTGGCACCAGGAGGGGGTACACCAGATCGCACGGGCCCCACGGAGTCCCGCAGGTCTCGCAGGTCCCACAAGTTTCAAAGTGGTTCCCGTGTGAGGTCCCACAGGTCCCACGGGTGTCGCAGGGGAGGGGCTTCTTAATCGCTTCCCACGGCTTCTTAATCGTATTCTTATTCTCATTACAATTCTAATTGGGATGCCACCCGAGGCGGGGCGCTGTAATTATTTATTTTCCTTCCATTTGCGCGGTGCTAATAATATCGCTCGGCGAAACCCCCCCCAAATAATTATTTAATTACGGCGCGGTGCTAATGATAACGCCGGGGGGGTCCTTAATTGCTTCTCCGGGTTATGCCACGGTGTCTGCGGGATCCAGAGGCCTTCGTAAGAGCTGTGGAGGGTCCCAGCAGGCCTTGGTGGACCCAGGCAGGAAGAACACTCGGGCAATCTGCAAGGGCAAGCACCCCAACAGGCCTCTCAAACTGGGCTCTTGGCGAACTCCTGGGGCTTGGGCGCGGGAGCTGATTGGGGGGGCGTCGGAGTCCAAGAAGGCCCAGAAGAGAGAAGGAAGTGTCTCCAGGGCCGCTACGGACCCACCTGCACGTGCAATTTTGTGCCTGGCAGATGTCCTGCAAGCGTTTGGGCTCAACGAAGTTGAAGCCGCTGAATTGGGACGGAAGCTGAAGGAGCGTGACCCAGACAACGATCTGGAAGAGGAACTTGGCGGCTAGATACCCAGGGGGGGGCCCTGTCGCTGGCCCCTGGCAGGTCTTCGGCTGTCCTGCCAGGGTGACAAAAAGTTCCCCTCGGATGGGCCCCCCTGGGTTTGCTTTTTGGACCGTCTGACTTTCTCCCCCCCCTTTCCCTTCAGTGGCGTGCGATCCTCCTCCTCCTCCTCCTCCTCCTCCTCCTCCTCCTCCTCCTCCTCCCCCTCCTCCTCCTGGCGGGGCGGGGCCGTCCCTAGTGGCCCCTCGTGTTCAGTGATGGGCCTGTTTTCCACCGCCACCACCGGATGGTGAAGGGAGGAAGGAGGTGGAGGACGAGGAGGAGGTGGAGGAAGAGGAGGAGGACCCCCTCCCCCTCCTACTCCTGGTGGTGGCGGTGAAGAACAGGCCCACCATCCAGAGCCACGGGGGCTCGGGCGACGTCCGCGCGTGCTGCCAGAAGCGCTGGCTTCCGGGCAGGCAGCGCCGCGCAGCACGCTCTTTATCGAGGCGGCGGCAGGCACAGCGCGGGATTATCCGGCAGTTCTCTCGCCCGTCTGGGCGGGGCCGGTGCTGCAACCGTGACGATCGGGGGCGGCAAACGGGGGGGTGATGTCTAGGGGGGGATATCATGGCGTGGGCCATGATATCTTCCCAGATTTCATGGCGCCTCTTCTCATTTCATTGCGTCCCTGGCCCCCCCGCTGGGCCGCGCACATTTGCATCCCCCCCCTCTTGGACACCCCCCTCTTGGCCGCTCCCGAGACGAGAGTGGGCGGAAGGGAGGAGGCGCAGGGGGAAGCAGGAGGAGCACGAAGATTCGACGTCAAAGGGGGTGGGGGGAAGGGGGAGGGGATGGGCGCAGGTGCGGTTTCAGACCTGGGCGTGGCACGCGAGAGGGGTGGGGATATGGATGCGGACTGCGGGCGAGGGACCGAGACCTCAGGGTGGGACTTGGGATGCGGAGGAGGAGGCAGAGGAGGAGGAGGAGGGGGAGGAGGAGGAGGAGGAGGAGGAGGGTGCGGAAAAGTTAGTGGGAGGGCGATCCGCTTGAGGTCACAGAAGGAGAGCGACATAAGCACACGCTTTCGGAGGTTCGCGCGGAGCGCGCCAGGGGCGGCGCTGGAGGCGCCGCCAGGGAGGTCCGGCGCCGGTCCAAGAAGTCCGCGCGGACCTCCGGAAGTCTACGTCTGTGCCGTCATGTTGCTCCTCTCGATGACCCTCGGGACGCGTGTTAGCCCAAAGTGTGTGCGCCCCCGTTCAGCTCAATCCGCAGATCCTTACGTCGCCTGCGTCGTCTTGAAGGGGTCTCGAAGGGCGAGCACACGCTGGCGCTGGCACGCGTTCTGGGGGAGCGGCGGTCCCCTGAGGGGGCGGGGCGGAGCGGAGCGCAGCTTCCCCCGCCGAGGACATGCTCTTCACGACGGAGGACAGGTGGGGGGGCGGGGCCGGCCGAACGCACGGGGTTGGCCAGGGATCATGTGCGGACGGGGGCGAGCTTCTGATACCATTGCCCCGCCCCCCAGTGAGAGAGAGGAGGGGGGCGACGAGCACGAGGAGGGGCAGGAGGAAGAGGAGGAGGAGGAGCAGGAGGAGGAGGAGGAGATGATGACGGTGATTGGTGATGATGATGAGGATGATGATGAAGATTATGATGATGATGATGATGATGATGATGATGATGATGATGATGATGATGATGACATGAGCATGATGATGATGATGACATGAGCATGATGAACATGATGAACGTGATGATGATAATGATGATGATGATGATGTTGATAATGATGTTGAGGACGATGATTTTGATGGTAATGATGACGGTGGTGATGGTGGTGATGGTGATGGTGATGGTGGTGGTGATGATGATGATGACGATGATGATGATCATGGTACTGATGGTAATGATGATGACTGTGGTGATTGTGATGATGATGAAGATGATGATGGTGGTGATGATGATAATGATGAGAGGGACGACAGCAGGAGGAGGATGAGGGGCAGGAGACGGAGCAGAAGGGCAGGATCATGATGCTGATTCGTCATGGAGATGATGATGATCAGGAGGAGGATGATGTTGCTGATGATAATGATGATGCTGCTGCTGATGATGATTATGCTGTTGATGACGATGACGATGATGATGATGATGATGGTGATGATGATGATGATGATGATGATGATGATGATTATGATGATGATGACGATGATGATGTCGATGATGATGATGCTGATAATGATGATGTTCATGATGGTAATGGTGTTGGTGATGGTTTTGGTGGTGGTGGTGGTGGTGATGGTGATGGTGGTAATGATGATGATGGTGATGATGATGATGCTGATGATGATGGTGGTGATGACAGTGATGGTGATGATGCTGATGATGGTGGTGATGATTATGATGATCGGGTGAGGATGACGATGATGATGATGATGATCATGGTACTGATGGTAATGATGATGATGACTGTGGTGATTGTGATGATGATGATGATGGTGGTGATGATGATGGTGGTGATGATGATGATTATGAAAGGGATGACAGGAGGAGGAGGAGCAGGAGGAGGAGCAGGAGGAGCAGCAGGAGGAGGGGCAGGAGACGGCGCAGGAGGGCAGGATCATGATGCTGATTCGTCATGGAGATGATGATGAGGATGCTGATGCTAATGATGATGATGCTGATGCTGATGATGATGATGATGATGATGATGATGATGATGATGATGATGATGATGATGATGATGATGATGGTAATGCTGATGACGATGACGATGACGATGATGAGGATGAGGATCGTGATGATGATGATGATGATGATGATGATGATGATGATGATGATGATGATGATGATGATGATGACGATGACGATGACGATGACGATGACGACGACGATGACGATGACGATGACGATGACGATGGTGATGGTGATGGTGATGGTGGTGGTGGTGTTGGTCCTGATGGTGATGGTGCTGGTAATGATTGTGGGACTGGTGATCATACAGCGACTTGTCGGCATTTGTGGTGCAGGTGTGGCCGTATCCCCATGCTCAAGTTCTTGAGGGAGTGCAGGCCCTGTTCGAACGCCTCTCGCAGGATTTCGCCAGTGCCCTCACCACTGCCATCATCGTCCGCGGGAGTTCGGTCCCGTGCCCCGATTGCGATTGTGTGTGCTCTCCCGCGCTGCACTGTCCACCGCTGGAGTGCCGCTGCCCCAGCGGCGAGGGCTTGCTCGCAGCGAGCACGCCTGCTGGCTGGCCGACGGGCTTCGTGGCGGGCGCGGTGATCATCTCGCTGGGCGGCGGCGCGCTGGGCGGCGGCTGCGTGGCAGCCGAGGTGCGGCGCACGGGGCCTGCGGGCGGGCCGCGCGGCCTCCTGCGCCCCAGGGAGCCCGAGCCCACCCTCGACCTCGCGTCAGCTGCCGCCGCTCAGGCCCGCAGCTTTCGCCGTAGCTAGGCAATGTGGCGGGGCCCGTGTCGGGCCAGCTCCACCTCGTGCGATACAACGGCGGCGGCCCCGCCATCTACCACGAACGGTTTACGCTGCTGCCTGGCTACATTCTCACGCCCGGCGGCGACCACCACGCCGAGAAAAGCGTTGCGGGTCGCGACCTCCGATCCGTGCACATTCTAAGTGGCCAAGGGGAGAATTTGCATGGAGTTCCAGCCAACCACCTGTACCAGTTGCGGCAGCTCCCTCCAGCAACTGATGTGTGGTCCGCGCTGCGGCGCGCGTCAGTTCAAGGGTTTGGACTCCTCTGCCAGCCTCCCCGTTCTGCATCGGCCTCAGCGGCACGAGCGTCATGGGGCTTGCTGCGGGGCCGCTCGCGCTGCCCGACCCGATCGCGCCCGCGGCGGCCGCTGCGGGTGGGCCCGCGGCCCCCGCGCCGCCCGCCCCAGTCGGCGGCGCGGCGCCGCCTGCGGCGGGCGCCCTGCCAGCGGCTGCGGCCCCCCCACCGCTGCCTGCGTTGGCGGCGCCGCTTGCCGCAGGAGCACCTCCTGGCGGCGGCGGCCTTGGCGCGCTGGCGGCGGCGCTGTGCGGCGGCGCGCTTGCGCCCGCGGCGGCTGTCGCAGCCCCCCCTGGCGCTGGCGGCGGCGCCGCCCTTCCCGTGGCGGCGGCAGCTGGTGGCGATCCCCGCGCGATGGCCCTCGTCCTCGACGGCCGCGGCTTTCGCGACATCAGCTTCAGCGACGCGGTGAAACTCCAGAAGGAGACGGTGCGCGCCGACTGGCCCGTGACGGGCCCGAGGACGCTGCTGTGGGTCCTCGCTTATGCCGCGCATGCCGAGCGGCGCCATGGCCTGGCACAACCGCTGGCTAGCGATGATGCCGCTCAGCGAGCATGACGAGAACGCGAAGCTGCACGAGATGCTCTGCCGCGTCATAGAGACCGCCCTCTGCCACGACCAGCTGGTGATTTGCGAGCTCGCCCCGCATGAGCACGTCGCCCGCCAGCCCCAATTCGCGGAGGAGCGCGCGTTCGAGGAGCGGTCGAGGAGGTCGCAGCCTGCAGCCAAGGCGAAGGCTCAGGCGAAAGAGGCCTCCCCAGCCGACCTCGCGTCCGAGGTGGGCCACTTCCTCGGCGCAGGCGAGACGAAGGGGGGCCTGTGCATCTGCCCCGCGCTGGTGGATTGGATCGCTGATCAGATGAAGATGGGAGCCGCCGTGGCGAAAGAACGACGCAAAGCCCGTGAGGAACGAGCCTCTCGGGCGCCATGACGCTCTCTCAGGACGCTGGCCACGGTGAGCCTCACGAGTTTGTTTTCGATCATCGTGGGCCTGGTCAGCTTGGTCCAGAGGCGCTCGCGCCTCCGCCCGGCCTCGAGGCGCCCAGACGCGGTGCCCATCGCTAGCGCGACGTTTTTCCTCTGCCTCTCCCCCCTGTGGGCGGGCGCCGCCATCTGCCCCTCGGTCGAGCGGCCCGACTTCGAGCTGCCAACCAAGGGCGCGGGCTGGCGAGAGCGGTGCCACGAGGGGCTGTCCGCCCTCAATTGGCCCCATAGCGGCAGAGGCGAGCACTGCGCGACCCAGGGCGGCGTTGCAGCGCCCGCTGCGCAGGCAGCCTCGGTGGGGCATCTTGCGGGCCTCTACCGCGAGTTCGAGTTGCCTGCCGCCAGCTCGGAGAGGAGCAGCGCCTGCGAAGCATCCCTGGTAGGGGTGCTCGCTCGGGCACCTAGCTACGCTGGCGACGGCGGTCGGGCGCGGCCCTACAGCCAGCCGCTCGTGGCTTGGCCTGAGTCGACAAAGCTGTCTCCAACTGCGACGTCATCTCGGAAGCCGATTCCATCGTGCTGCAGGGTTGGGGGCAGAGTATGCTGAGTCCCGAGTCGGGTGCAGCGGAGCTGCGGGACGCGCTGGGCATTGACCGCCGCTGCGCGGGCCCCGAGCTGCGCTTCCAGCCAAAGTCCCACGCTCAGTCTTTGAAGCAGCTGGAGGCCCACGACGTGATCACGTGGCGGGCCGCCGGCCCTCAGCCTTCGCATCCAATCGGTTTATTATGCGTGGAGAAATCCAATCGCATGCCCAGGCTCGCGCTCGACACTCGGCTGGCCAACTGCAGTTTCGCAGCGCCCCCAGCCACCAAGCTCCGCGCGCCCAGCGCGTGGGCCAGTGTTGACTGCGATGACAGTTTCTTTTTCGCTCAAGGAGACATCCAGCGTGCTTTCTATCACTTGCGTTTGCCTGCTGGGATGGAGTCGATGTTCTCGCTGCCTGCGATCTCCAACAGACACATCGGTTTCAAATTTATCAACGGAGCTCCCAAAGGTACCAGTCAACGATGTCGTACAACCTCTGGTCACAGTTGTTCCTATGGGGTGGGGTTGGGCGTTGCACTTCTGTCAGGGCGCCCTGGTCAGAGCTTTATCCGATGTTGGTTTCGAGAGCAGTGACATTTTTTTTGATGGGGGCAGCCCGCGTCCGTTGGTCGATCCCAGTGATGCCATATGTGCTGGACATGTTGACAACTTCTGCGTCGTCTCAAAGAACCCAGAGATTGCCACCTCGCGGGCTCGTGCTGTTGCCGACCTTCTCACCTCTAGGGGGCCACCTGTCTTGGAGTTCTCGGAGGCCGTCGGCAAGGGGGTCTTTACGGGGCCGCAGATTGACGGGCGATCTGGCATCATCCGTGTTCGTCCCTATCGTCTCGCCCGAACTCGCCTAGCCGTTCTTGGTCTCTTGCGACGCCGGCGGGCCTCCGCGGGGGCCCTCAGCACGTTGGTAGGCCCCTGTGCTTGGGGGGAGATCTTGAGACGGGACGTCGCGGCCATCTTGAATTCGGTGCATCGGTTCATCAATGTGGTCGGGGCTCAGCCGGCGCCTCTTTGGGAGTCTGTGCGGGCCGCAGTGGCCCTGATCCCGCTCTGGAGCGCCTCTACCAGGTTCAGGTGGTCGCCGCGGATCCACGCTTCAGATGCGTCGCCGCACGGGAAGGGGGTGCGCATCAAGGACGCCCCCCCTGACATGGTCTCAGAGATCGGCCGCGTCGCCGAGAAGTGGAGGCGCCGCCAGGGCTCCAGCGTGCCCGCGAGGCCCCATGCCTTCTAGACCGTCGGCTCGCATCGCGACGTCGCCGATCGTTGCCCGCGCGCTGATGCCTGCCGAGCCCGCCCTAGCAGCCCTGCTCAGGCCTGTCAGAGCTTCCTGTAGGGTCCTGAGGCTGTCTTCGGGTTCGACGGCTGGAAGATCATCCATTCGAGCAGGCGCTCTCGTTCAGGTTGCGACATCTTGCAGTATGAAGCCGAGGCCCTGGGGTTCAGTGTCCAACGCGCCTCCAGGACTCTAGGGGCCCACCATCATCGTGCCGTTTGTCTCGTCGACAAATTGGTTTTAGCCCTCTCCGTCGGCAAGGGGCGTCCGGGCAGCCCGCGCCTCGCGCGCGCTCTGAGGCGCCTCTCTGGCATCGCTCTCGCACGCGGATTGCGCGCGCTGGTGCGCTGGGCCCCCTCTGAACGGAATGTCGCCGACATGCCGTCGAGAGAAGGTTTCTTCGTCGGCCCGAGCTACGAGGGCTACCTCTCAGAGCAGGGGTCGCGGCGACCGCGGCAGCCTAAGGGAGGTGGCCAAGGCCGCGAGGGCTCGGACGGCCCACCTTGGGCCCTCCAGCCTCTCGCGCGGGGGCCTGTCGGTGCTGGGGGCGTCGGCGGCCTCGGCCTCCACAGGCAGGAACTACCGCGCCTGCGCCCAGCAGTTCCTGAGCTGGTGCCTTTGGACCGCGAGGGGCTCTGGGGCCAGCGCCGAGCTCGACGCCGTCCTGGTCGCGCACGTCGCCCACCTGTTCCTGGGCGGCTGCGACTGCGCGACGGGCCGCACCACGCCGGCTTCGCTGAAGCGCCACCTACCCGCCCTGCTGGTCGGGAGCAGGCCGCTGCCGCGGGCCTTTCGGGCGCTTCAAGGCTGGGCGAGACTCGCCCCGCCCCAGATGCGCCCGCCGCCCCCGCGCGCGGCCGCGTTCGCGATGCTGGGTGTCCTCCTGGCCCGAGGCCGCCTCGCGGAGGCGACCTTCGTGAGGCTCGCGTTCGAAGCCTACCTCCGCCCGATCGAGGCCTACCGCCTCGCCGCCGCCTCGCTGATCGATCCGTGGCTCGGGTCGAAGGAGGGCCACCGGCGCTGGGCCATCCTGGTGAACGACGCCGCGAGCGGGAGGCCTGGCAAGACGGGGGCCACGGACGAGAGCGCGATCGTCGACGACCCCTTGCTGCGGCCGCTGCTCGACTCCCTCCGTCGAGGGCGACGACCCGAGGCGAGCCTGTGGGGCTTCTCGCCCGAGCAGGTCCGCCAGGCCTTCAGGCTGCCCTCGCGACGCCCCAGCTCGACGGCGAGCAGACGTCGATGTGCTCCCTGCGCCACGGAGGAGCGTCAGACGACCTCCTGTCAGGGCGTCGGACTCGCAAGGGGGTCAAGGACCGCGGCCGCTGGAGGGCGGACCAGTCATTGAACCGACGCGCCAAGCGAGCTCGGATGCAGCAGCGTCTGGGACAGCTCGCGCCAGCTCTACTGGAATTCGGGGACAAGGTCGAGGCGAACTTCTTGCAGCTGATGGGCGAGAAGGCGCGGACGGGCATCTTCTCGCTGCAGCTGCCGCCGCTTCTCCCTGCGTCTGCGCCGCCAGTCGTGAGGTCGGCGCCCGTGCTGACCGACCACTGGAGCTTCGTTTGAGGAGGCTTTGGCGGCGGGCCCGATCTCACGCCTCTGTCATGCCCGATCAGGTTACCTCGTGCACCTGCACGCCGAATCGCATTCGTCGAGCTTGCGAACATCGTGGGCTCAGAACTGTTGCTATCAACTTTGCTCGCCATCGCCTGGAGGACGCTGGCGACCCATGTCTGTTGGACGTGTTGCTCGGCTGGGTGCGCTCGTCGGCGGCCCTCGGCCTATGGGCCTCCGCGCCGTCTGCGACCTGGAGATCAGGCGCGGCCCGCCTCCGCCGACTGGACGCCACTCGGGAGGGAACGAGAATCTCCGAGCCTGATAGACGTGCCATCCGAGTCGCTAGTGCGCTCACCGCCGCCACGTTTCGGCTGATCTCGGAGTGCATTTGTCGCAGGGTCCCCGTGATTGTTGTGCACCCATGAAGCTAGCCTGATCTGCAGACATCCCCTCCTTTCCTCTGTCCTTTCCTCCTCCTTTTCCTCCTGCTCTCTCGACTCGTGCATATTTTCAGGCCGCGTTAGAGAGAGAGAGAGAGAGAGAGAGAGAGAGAGAGAGAGAGAATGTTATTGGTCGATTGGGGCGTTCGGGACCTCGACTGCCTCTCGCGTCGTTGCCTCTGCCCCCAAGGCACGAGCCACGCTGGATGCCGTGGCTCGTGCCTCGACCCGCGGCCTACCCGTTGAAGTAGCCACCGCAGGCACGGGCATGATAGTTGCTGCCGCGCGGCAGCTGCCCCGTGCCGCCCGATATAACAAGGTTTTTAGTCAATGAAGTTGTTCGGCTGTAACCATGTGTGGAGACTAGCGCTTGGTACCGAGACTGTGCTTCTCTTGCTGGCTGTGCATCCTCGAGGCTGCCCTCCGCCGCTCTGCACAAATATGGGAAAAAGATTGCCTCGAAAGATCCCACATACAGCGACTTGTCGGCATTTGTGGTGCATGTGTGGCCGTATCCCCATGCTCAAGTTCTTTGTTGCCCCCCCCCCCCGCCCAACTTGAGCTAGAATTTTAACCAATGCCGAGTCTGAGCTTCTCTTGCTGGCTGTGCACTCTCGAGGCTGCCCTCCGCCGTTCTGCACAAAGATGGAAAAGATGGCCTCGACATATCCTAACTTATTATGATGATGGCGATGCCGATGAGGATGGTGACGACGATGACGATGATGACGGTGGTGGTGATGATTTGTTTTATGATGTTGATGTTGATGGCGATGCTGGTGGATTGTGATGGTGCCGCTAATGATGATGGTGCTGCTGATGGTTGTGGTACGGATGTTGGTGATGATGACGGTGATGATGATGATGAGGATGAGGATGACGATGAGGATGAGGGTGATGATGATGATGATGATGATGATGATGGTGGTGGTGATGATCATGACGATGATGAGAGGGATGAGAGGAGGTGGAAGAGGAGGAGGCGGGGCAGGGTAATGAGCACAGCTGCATCATTTTCCTCGTCGCCGTCATCCTCCTGATTACTGATCGTCCTCCTCCACCTTCTCCTCAGCCTCTTCTCCCTCCTCCTCCTTCTCATCCCCCTCCTCCCTTCTCTCTCCTCATATCATAATCAATATGGGCGCTTGTCCCTCCTCTCTCCTTTTCCTCCTCCTCCTCCTCCTCCTCCTCCTGCTCCTCCTCCTCCTCCTCCTCCTCCTCCTCCTCCTCCTCCTCCTCCTCCTCCCCCTCCTCCTCCCCCTCCTCCCTCGCCTCCTCCTTTCTCCACTGCCAGCAGGTTCGACACCCGCGAGGAGCAGGAGGCGTACATCGTCGAGTGGTGCAAGCGCAGGGCTGGCGTGGACCTCGCCAAGCTGCCCATCCGGCTGCACTGGTACGAGGCGCGCTTCGTCAAGCAGGCCTCTCCCGGGGGGGGGATCAGATGAGGAAGAGGTGTACCCATACGTGAGCGCCTGGGGGCGCTATGTCGGCGAATTGTGGTCTGGGGGACCGTCCGTGGAGCGTTTTGGTACCTTTTTGGCGAGTTTTGGTGCCTTTTTGACGAGTTTTGGAGCACTGCGGCGCGTTCGGTCCGGGGTGCGGCCAGGCCCGGGGGGGGGGATCGAATTGCCGGTTTGGGGTCCCTGGGGGGGGGGGATTATGGGGGGGGAAGAATCTCACACGCCTAGAGACCCACAAGGGGTCGGCGGATACTGCTACCCTTGCCCAGTTTTCGCCTTGTTGGGCCTCCTGGGAGGCCCGATCGTCGCCACCGCTGTATTCGAGCCGGAATTTTCGTCAGAGCGCATCCTGGAAGGTCCCGGGAGTGTGGTATTCGTATCTTGCTGGTGTTCCTAGAGGAGGGGGGAGGGAGGCCTCGGCGCCACCGAGACGGGTAAGTACTCTGTGGCGGTTCGGCAGCGCGCGGAAAGGCTCACGAACGCGGCAGGATTGGAAGGAGAAGAGAGGCACAGACATTAAACTTTTGGAGCTCCGCGCGGATTTCCTGGGCCGGCGCCTCCGGCACGGCCCCCGGCGCGCTGCGCGCGCGGGGCTGATCCAAGAAATCCGCGCGGAGTTCCGAAAATTTCGGCTTATGTCGTTGTTTCTTCTTCGAGGGATGCCTCGGTGCCACTGAGACGTCACCCACCATCCCTGTCAAAAAAGCCATGCACAGTGTTGGCGAGGATTCGTATATCACACTCTGCATCGGTTTTTGACAGGGGTGGTGAGCCTGCACACTTTGCACAGCGGACAGCATGAGGGCACCCGCGACGTCCCGCTCAACACACGTGCAAATTGGTCGAGGGGCGCCCGAGCATGATGTAGGTTTCGCCGCAGAGTGCGCTCTCTTTTGTGTTTTTTGGGGTATGCCAGAGTGTCAGGAGGGGAAAAAACACACAGACACAATCAATCGTCGACTCCCCAGAAAATGTGGGAAAATGTGGGCAGTGGGGGGAAGACAGAAACGCAGAAAATAGGGGGAGCCCTGTCATATTCGTGTGTATTTGTTTGTGCGTTTGTGGGCCCCTTCAGAGTGGCGTGGGGGGGCTGGTGGGACTCTCTAGGTGCCCGGCGCCGGCGGGGCTCCGCCCCTGGAATGCTCGCACGTCGTTTGTCCGCTGCACCCGTGGCCCGTCTCTTGGTCGAGCCGAAATGTCATTTCGGAAGGAAATGTGATGGAGGAGGAGGAGGAGGAGGAGGAGGAGGAGGAGGAGGAGGAGGAAGAAGCGGAGGAGGAGGAGGAGGAGGAGGAGGCGGAGGAGGAGGCTGGGTAGTCGAAGGCCAGACTGTCAGATTGGATTGGGCCCCACGGGCCAATCTGGCCCGGCCAAGCTGGACGATTTGGGTTATTCGCCAGACTGGCTTCGCGTTGGCTCCCTCGCCAGATTGCCCCCGTTTGCCAGACTGGGCCTGCCAGATTGGCGCCAGATTGGCTTCGACCACCCAGGATGAGCACGCGTCTTGGCAGGCTGCTCGCAGGTTCCCGGGGAAGCGGCCATACAAGAGCAGCTGGCGCTGCAGCAATACGTCAGACAGTTTCTGCGCACGGGGCTCCCCCCTGGAACTCGCACAGCGTTTGCCCGCTGCACCCGTGGCCCGTCTCTTGATCGAGCCGACATGAGCATGCGTCTTGGCAGACTGCTCGTACACCCTGCCTAATGCTTAAGAAATCATGGGCTCAGAAATTCATAGTCTCAGAACTTGAATAGAAACCCAACATTTCTATTGAAATCTTAAGATTCACATTGAAACGTTAAGAATAATCGAGACTCTTGCCGAAAACGTAAGTTTCTTAAGGTTTCTTAAGTCTCTTCATCGAGCCGAAATGAGCACGCGTCTTGGCAGGCTGCTCGTACACCTTAGGCGATGCTTAAGAGAACTTAAGTTTTCGGCCAGGGTCTCGATTATCCTTGACGTTTCAAGGTAAATATCAAGATTGTAATAGACATGCTGGGTTTTTTATTCAAGTTCTGAGACTATGAATTTCTGAACCCATGATTTCTTAAGCATTTCGCAGGGTGTAGGTTCCCGGGGAAGCGGCCATACAAGAGCAGCTGGCGCTGCAGCAATACGTCAGACAGTTTCTGCGCACGGGCACCGTGCAAAACACTGGCGTGCTTTGCGCAAGAGACACGTGCAGATAGGCTCTCCTTCAGACCTTAAGCAAGCATAGTGCTCTGCTTAGGCTTTCCCTTAATCCGAAATCGAACTGTAATAAAAAGCTACGGGGACTGCGTTTGGGATCGTATTTGACCAGGCTTGATCGAGGGGGAGGGAAGGGCCAGCAGGCGGAGGAGGGAGGAGGCAGAGGAGGCAAAGAACAAGAAAGGACGCGGATGACGGTCTTTGTGTTTTTGAAAAGGGGGCCCTTGGGGGTAGCCTTCCGTCGCAACGACATACATCCGCCTCGAGATCCTGTCCACAGCGCAATTCGGGAGCGGGCGGGTGGGGCAGCTTCGAGGGGAGGTCTCGGCCGCAAAATTTGGGATATCAAATTCAGCATCGGCGCTTCTACATATCCGCTGCCGATAGCCAGCCTGCACTTGGCTTGCTCCCGTCTAGTTCCGCTCAGTTTGGTCGAATTCTGGGCCCAATCTGGCCTGGTCCCTAGTCCGGCTCTCAATGGCCTTCCCATCTTGCTGTCATTCCCACGAAGGCTTCCCAGGAATTGCCTCACGATAGAGAGGGGAAGTTTCGCCTCTCCCCGCCCCTCCGGGGCATTTTGGCGGCCGCGCGGGGCAGGGAGGGAGAGAAGGAGGGAGGGAGGGAGTGAGGGAGGGAGGGAGGGAGGGAGGGAGGCGGGGAGGAGGGGGAGGAGGAGGGGGAGGAGGAGGGGGAGGAGGAGGGGAGGAGGAGGAGGAGGACGAGGAGGAGGAGGAGGAGGAGGAGGAGGAGGAGGACGAGGACGAGACGAGGAGGAGGAGGAGGAGGAGGAGGAGAGGAGGAGGAGGAGGGAGGAGGAGGAGGAGGAGGAGGAGGATGAGGAGGAGGAGGAGGAGGAGGAGGAGGACGAGGACGAGGAGGAGGATATCCCCCTTCCCCGCCCGCGAGCGCCCTCCCTCGCTCCTCTTACCTTCGACGGCCGCCCCGCGGTCGCCTCGGGCACACGAGCAGCTGCACCTGGCAGCGACCGCTGCGCTCCCTCTCCTCCCAGAGGAGGCGGAGGAGGGGGGGAGGAAGAGGAGGAGGAGGCGGAGGAGGAGGAGGCGGAGGCGGAGGCGGAGGAGGAGAAGGAGGAGGCGGAGGAGAGGAGCGGAGGAGGAAGCGGAGGAGGAGGGAGGGAGGAGGAGGCGGAGGAGGAGGAGCAGTAGGAGGGAGGGTTCCGAGGAGGGAGGGGACTTCGGGGCGGCCAGGTGAGGAGCATTCCCGCTGGGCGAAGTGTCCACCAGCTGGCGCCCTACCTCCACCTCCTCTCCTCCTCCTCCTCCTCCTCCTCCTCTCCTCCTCCTCCTCCTCCTCCGCCTCCTCCTCCTCCTCTTCTCTCCTCCTCCTCCTCCTCCTCCTCCTCCCTCCTCCTTCCTTTCCACCGTATCCTTCTCCTCCTCCTCCTCCTCTCTTCTCCCTTCCGTCTCCTCCTCCTGTCTCCCCTCCCCTCCTCCCCCTCCTCCCCCTCCTCCGGCCGTGGGCCGGGGAAGAAGCCAGTCGGCGGAAGCACGCATCTGCTAACATCCGCGCGGTCTGCCCCGCATCGGCGCCCCCGGGCGGCGCGCCTCTCTCTTCTGCGCACGCCCCCGTGGCGCGCGCCAGGGGCGTGCCACGGAAAGGGGCCCAGCGCCAAGGCGAGGAGGTCCACGCGGGCCTCCGGACGCCTCTGCGGATGCCTGCGCTGCTTCTTCTGGTGGGGCTCGGGCGCGTCTCCATGGGCGGCGATTTTTTTTGTTTTTTTTTTTGGGGGGGGGGGGGGGGGGCGAAAGTCGAAGAAGACAAAACGACCTAAGCAGAAAGTTGTGGCGCTCCGCGCGGATTTCTTGGATCCGCGCTGGGCCCCCCCCGGGCGGCGCCTCCGGCGCCGCCCCTGGCGCGCTCCGCGCGCCAGGGAGGGGGGTCCAGCGCAGATCCAGGAAACCCGCGCGGAGCGCCAAAAGTTTGTGTGCATGGCTTTTTGGTTTCCTCCAGGTACATAGGGGGAGAAAGGTGCCCCGTTCGGGCCCTACGGGCCCCCCCTTCTCGGGTCACCAGAGGGCCCCTTCTCGACGGCCCTCGCTGGCCCCCCTCTTTATTCGCCCCCCCCCTCCCCATTCATCGCGGTCCAGGGGGCGGGTTTCGTCGCCGCCGTCGTTGTCATCGCCGCCAGAGTCGTCACTGTCGTCGTCGCGGTGGTCGGCTTCGTCGTCGGCTCCCGACTCCCGCCGAGGCTTCCTCTTCCTCCTCCTCTGCCGGGCGGCCGCCCGCATCTCTCTCTCTCTCTCTCTTTCCTGAGGGTGGGGAGGGGCTGGCGGTGCTCGTGGAAGGCAAAAGTGATGACGAGGAGGCGGGGGAAGGAGGAAGAGGAGGTGGAGAAGGAGGTCGAGGCGGATGAGGAGGAGGAGAATGAGGAGGAGGAGGAGGAGGAGGAGGAGGAGGAGGAGGTCGAGGAGGAAGAGGAGGAGGAGGAGGAGGAGGAGGTCGAGGAGGAAGAGGAGGAGATGGGGGGAGGAGGAGGAGGAGGAGGAGGAAGAAGAGGGGGGTCACACATTGCGGCGTACACAATGCCCACTCCAGATAGCCGGCGCCATGCTTTCGGAAGTAGTCGATTCAGCCGTTCAGCCCCTCTCCCTGTCCCTACATCATATGATGCTGCTCATCCGTCTCCTCATTCTGCTGGTGCTGCTGCTCATCCACCCCGTCCTCGTTCTCCTTCCCATTATCTTTCTCAAGACCCCACCGCCTTACCCCCGAGGCAACGCCCATGCGGCCCATCCCTCCAGGAGAGAGATAGAGAGAGAGAGGGAGAGAGACAGAGACAGAGACAGAGAGATCCCCCCCTCTCATCAGCATCCTCTTCCTCGCTATCATCTTTCTTCTCCTTGTCCCTGTCCTCTTGGACTCCTCCGTGGGCGTTTGCGTACATATTCGTTCTCTGCGCCTGCGTCGTCCTCCTCCTGCTCCTGCTGCTCCTGCTGCTCCTCCTCCGCCTCCTCCTCATGTTCCTCCACCTCTTCCTCCTCCTCCTTCTCCTCCTACTCCTACTCCTTGTCATCCCTTCCCCTCCTCCTCCTCCTCCTCTTCCTCCATCCCTCTTCGTCTTCCTGATAAGCCAGCTCCTCCCCTGTCGCATCCCGAGACGGGTCGGCAAGCTGGGCGAGGCGCTTCGCTCGAAGGTTCCTCACCATTTGTGGTTCTGGAGCTTAACATTTGCAACACTTCGTGATCGCTTTCTCATTTCGAAGAAGAAAAAACACATAAACATAAACTGTGGCGCTCCGCGCGGATTTCTTGGATCTTCGCTGGGCCTTCCTGGCGGCGCCTTCGACGCCGCCCCTGGCGCGCTCCGCGCGCCAGGGAGAGGAGCCCAGCGCAGATCCAAGAAAGCCGCACGGGACGCTGAAAGTTTATGTTCATGCCGCTTTTTTCTTTGCTTCTGTTATTCATGATTTCGCCGTTGGACTCCTCTCCCGAGCGCGCCAGGGAGAGGAGTCCAACGCAGATCCAAGAAATCCGCACGGAGCGCTGAAGGTTTATGTTCATGCCGTGTTTTCTCTTCCTCTTCACCACCCACCAAACCATCCAACCCAACCCGAAGGCCTCAATTTGCCCTCCATTTCCATTTGGGGGGGGGGTCGGGGAACATCGAAAAAACACGTATGGAGCCCGTACCCCCCCCCAACCCGAAATTGGGGTCTTCGGGTTGGGTTGGGGTGGTCTGGTAGGTAGTCACCTCTGTCATTCCTGATCTCGCCGATGGGCGCGGACCCTCGCACGCCCCCCCCCCCCCCTGGTGTAGATTTAAGTCGGGCCTGTCCCCCTACAGGGGGATTTTCGACGAAAAATAGAAGTTACCTCCAAAATAGTCAAGAAATACTCCAAAAATGGCCCGGGGACTATTTTTCGAGTATTTTTGGATCTCTTTGGGGCATTTGTGGGGTATTTTTCCTTTTTCGTCGAAAATCCCTCTGTAGGGGGACACGCCCGACAGAAAGTGTAGATCTGGGCTGTTCTCGGCGCCGGTCTCGAGCAGGCGGAGCCTCCCCCCCGCAGGACGCACCGCGGCAAGCCGCGCCGTGCTGCGGAGGTCCGGAGCCGGCCCCTCCCCGCCCCCCCTCCTTCCGCCCAGTGTTCAGTCGGGCGTGTCCCCCTACAGGGGGGATTTTCGACAACAAGTAAAGCATACCCCAAAAGTACCCCCAGAAAGGTCCAGAAATGCGCAAAGAATAGTCCCCAGGCTGTTTTGGGATTATTTCTGGATTATGTTTGGGGTGTCTTTTACTTTTCGTCGGACATCCCCCTGTAGGGGGACACGCCCGACTTAAGCCCAGTGTCGAAACGCCGACTGAGAAAGCTTTCGCTTTCGCGGATGGAGGGCGGGTCGTTTTCAGAGTGTGTTTCTCGCCGTGGCGCCAAGCTCACTCGCCTTGGAAGTTTGCAAGAGCTTCGCGGATGGAGGGCGGGTCGTTTTCAGAATGTGCTTCTCGCCGTAGCGCCACGCACATGTGTCGTGGAAGTTTGCAGCAGTTTTCCAGATGAAGGGCGGATCGTTTTCAACATGTGTTTCTCACCGCAGCGCCACGCGCATTCGTCCTGGAAGTTTGCACAAGCTTCGCGGTTGGAGAGCGGGTCCCTTTCACAGTGGGGTTTTTGCTTTCGTGCCGCGCACACTCACATTCAAGTTCGCACGAGCTTCACGGATGGAGGACGGTTATTTTTCAACATGCGGTTCTCGCCCCAGCTCAGCGCACGCTCGTTTGAACAGTTCACAACAGTTTCAAGGATTCTCACGGCTGACGTCCAAGGAATATCTTTCTGGCACGATTTAGGGCTGTCAGGGCGCAACAGTCACGTTACTTTGCTGTGTTGACGTCCCAGAAATGGTTTCCTGGCACGATTTAAGATCACCCCGTCGGAACACTGCGCTATTTCACAGCGTTGAAGTCCCAGGAATTGTGTTTTGGCACGGCTGGAGATTTCGGACGAGTGTATTCCAACGGGGCTCTTCCCGCAGTGGAGATAGAACTTTATGGGAGCACATGAAGATGGAATTCGAAGGGATTTGTTATTGCAACATATTCGATGACTCTTGCGTTTTCATTGGTCCTCCTCATCCTCGTATTCCTCCCGCTTCGCCTCCTCCTCCTCCTCCTCCTCTTGCCCCTCCTTCTCCATCCGTCTTCCTTATAAACAAACTTCCCCTGTCGCACCCGAGACGGGTTCTTAGGGTGGGCCGGGAGTCTCGCTTGATGACATTTCCGCACTAGTTATGATTTTGAAGCTGAGGATTTGCAAACATTTCGCGGGTGGAGGGCGGGTGAGTTTCAAAATGTAGTTCTCGCTTCAGCGCCGCACGCATTCGTGTTCAAAGTGGGCTAGTGTTTCACGGGTGGTGTGTGTGCGTGTGTCATTTTCACAATGTGGTGTTCGCCTTAGCGGCGGGCACATTCGCTTTAAAAGTTTGCAAGATGTTTAATGATGGAGGGCGGTTCTTTTTCAAGAGGTGGTTCTCGCTTCCGCGCCGCGCACATTCGTCTTAACAGTTTACAACTGTTTGAAGTTGTTTTTCCGTGGTTGACGTCCCAGAAATAGTGTTTTGGCACGGTTTAGGGTTGTCAGGTCACGACAGTCACGTTGATTCGCGGTGTTGACATCTCAGAAATGATGTTCTGGCACGATTTCGGATCGTCAGGTCGCGACAATAACCTTGATTCGCGGCGTTGAAATCCCAGGAATGGTGCTTTGGCACGGTTGAAGATGTTCAGAAGGTTGTCTTCCAACGGGGCTCTTCCCGCTGTGAAGATGGATTGTTATAGGAGCCTATGAAGAGGGAATTCGGAGGAAGGGTTTGCTGCAACATCGTTGGTGAGTCCTGGGTTTGCACTGCCCCTCCTCTTCCTTATGCTCCTCCTCCTCCTCCTCCTCCTCCTCCTCCTCCTCCTCCTCCTCCTCGTCCTTCTCCAGAGTGCCCCTCCGCAAAAGGCAAAAGCCGCGAGAACTTACTCAGGACCGATACGGGGCCCCCTCCTCGGCAGTCGCTGCCAACGCCCTGCGGCGGGACGCTGACCAAGCCGCCCGGCGTAGGCCGCCTGTGCTGCCGTGGGACGACCGTTGGCTGGAGCAATGTAGGCAGCCACGCTGGCCGTCATGCAACTCCCTCCCTGAGACGAGAGGTGGGCGTTGAGGGATATGTATATATATATATATATATACATATGTATGTATGTGTGTATATACACACACAAATTCAAATAGATACACATCTATATATTGAGAGAGAGAGAGAGAGAGAGAGAGAGAGAGAGAGACGTGCAAGCGACTTGACGAGAACGAGGAGGCAGGGTGGCGATGATGGAGAGAGGAGGAGGAGGAGGAGGAGGAGGAGGAGGAGGAGGAGGAGGAGGAGGAGGAGGAGGAGAGGAGGAGGAGGAGGGGGGAGGAGGGAGGAGGGAGGAGGGAGGAGGAGGGGGAGGGAGGGAGGAGGAGGAGAGGAGGAGGAGGAGGAGGAGGAGGAGGAGAACGAGGAGGAGAGCGAAGAGGAGAACGAGGGACAGGGTGATGACGAAGAAGGGGAGGGAGGAGGCATGAGGTGCGGGTCTGGACGGCGGCGGAGGAGGGGGCGTCAGAAAGGTAGGGGGCCAGAGCAGCGGCGCGCCGGTCGCTGGGGCTGCCGCAGGCGCCGGATACGCCGCGAGACGTGCTCATCCTGGAGGAGCCTGCTGTTGATACATCGTCGCTTTCCTCCTCCTCCTCCTCTCCTCCTCCTCCTCCTCCTCCTCGTACCCTCTCTCTCCACTGTCCTCCGCCCTCCTCCTCCTCCTTATCCTCATCCTTCTCCTCCTCTATCGTCCTCGCTGATGCAGTCATCTCCTCCACCGTCCTCGTCGTCCTCTCCCTCTCCCCCCCCGCCCCTGGCCTCCTTCTCTTCTTCCTCCTCATCCTCCTCCGCCACCGCCCCCTCCTCCTCGGGCACCCCCCCCTCCTCATGCCCCTCCCCGCCACCCCCTCCTTTTCTTAGGCAAGCCGCGAGGACAAGGCTCGTAGCGTCAGGCGCCCCCTCCTCCTCCTCCTCCTCCTTCCTCCTCCTCTCCTCCCCTTCCTCCCTCCCCTCCCCCTCCCCCTCCCCTCCCCTCCCCCTCCCCCTCCCCCTCCCCTCCTCTTTCTGCGCCCTGCCCCCCCCGGCGCTCCTGCGCCTTCTGGCCCGCTGCGCCCGCGCCCTGCTCCCCTGCGTTCTGGTCCTCCCGCCGCCCCCGGGGGGGCAGGAGCCGGAGCACCTCTGTTGGTACCACAACGGGCAGAGGTGGCCAGAGCTCTTCAAGCACGTGGTGGCCAGCCCGGGACCAGGGCACGACTCCAGGGGGGGGCACGACTCCAAGAGGGAGGAGGAGATGGAGGAGCGGTTCGGAGCGGGAAGGAGCGAGGATCTGGAACGAGGAATTGGAGCGAGGAGGGGGAGGAGGAGAAGGAGGAGGAGGAGGAGGAGGAGGGGGGGGGGAGGAGGAGGGGGAGGGGGAGGAGGAGGAGGAGGAGGAGGAGGAGAGGAGAGAAGAAGGAGGAGGAGGAGGTAGGAGGAGGAGCAGGAGGAGGAGGGAGAGGAGTGGAGGGGGAGGAGGTGGAGGAGGAGGAGGAGGGAGGTGGAGGAGGAGGAGGGGGAGGAGGAGGAGGAGGAGGAGGAGGAGGAGGAGGGGGAGGAGGAGGAGGAGGAGGAGGGGGAGCTGGAGGACCTGGAGGACCTGGAGGACCTGGAGGACCTGGAGGACCTGGAGGACCTGGAGGACCTGGAGGACCTGGAGGACCTGGAGGAGCTGGAGCGGGGGGGAGCGGGGAGAAGCGGAGAGAGGCGGGGAAGAGCGGGGAGGAACAGGGAGGAGTGTTCTCGGTCTTGTGTTTGTATGAGAGCCAGGATGCACTTGAGAACTGATAACTAAGCGGAGTGGATCGGAAAGAGCGGGGAGGAGGAGAGAAGGACCAGTGTAAACTCAAGACGCATCATCGGTATTGCAAAACAAAAACTCTCTCCAAGTTCCCTCTTCATAGGCCCCATACAAGAACGTGTCGTCATTGCTGCAAGTGGCCGATTCGGAGACAAACGTCCGAAAGCATTCAATCATGCCAAGACGCCATTCCTGGGCCTGCAGCGCTGCGGAACAACATTACTGTTGCGTCTTGACAGTCCTTAATCGTGCCAGAGCCCAGTTCATGGGACTTCAACGCCACGAATACATGTGAGTGTTGCGTCCAGGCCATAGTATTCGTGTTGGAACGCAGTTTTCGGGATTTCAGCAATACGAATCCGTGAAACCGCTACAAGCTTTTAAAGCGAATGTGCTCGGCGCCATGGCGAGAGACACATTCTGAAGACGATCCGCTCTCCATCCGTGAACCTGCTGCAAACTTTAACACGAATGTGCGAGGCGCTAAGGCGAGGGCTGTCGAATGACCTTCGGCCCATCCCGCCACTGTGCCTGTGTTGTGGGCATGAAGCCTATTGGATATTCGTTGGGATCTCGTGGTGGCCGCTTGCGGGCCAGAGGAGGAGGAGGAGGAGGAGGAAGAGGAGGAGGAGGAGGAGGAGGAGGACGAGGAGAAAGAGGAGGAGTAGGAGGAGGGGTGGAAGAGGAGGAGGAGGAGGAGGAAGAAGAAGAGATGGAGGAGGAGAAGGATTGAAGGAAGGACGGAGGGAGGGAGGGAGGAAAGGACGGAAGGAAGAGAAGAGACGCGTGTCGCTACTGATTCAAAAGAATATCCACCACCACAGGAAGGTTGGGAGCAAACGCGATAACGGCAAACATTGCTTAGTTCGCTCCCTGCCTCCTCTTCCTCCTACTCCCCCGTCCCCATCCGTCTACGTACACTCCCTCCCCCCCCTCACTCCCACTCCCTCCTCCACCCCCTCCGTCCTCCTCCCTCTCCCAGGCCGCCCCCTCCCTCCTTCCATTCCTTCCTTCCGCCTCCTCCTCCTCCTCCTCCTCCTCCTCCTCCCTCGCCCTTGGCCAGCCAAGGTGGGCATAGTGCACACGAACTACCGGGTGTACCTCGCGGCCATGGGCTACGACGGGTTCCTGGGCGCCCCCACGGTGCGGGACAGCATCTTCTTCAGCTTCACCTCCCTGGTCTGCAGCGCGTACTGCGACGTCACGATCAAGCTCTCCGCGGCGGGCGTGTCGCTGCCGAACGAGGTGACCTGCAACGTGCACGGCGTGCGCGACGAGTTCCTCAGGATCGGCAGCAAGGCTCCGCCTCCTCCTCCTCCCCCTCCCTCCTCCCCCCCTCCTCCTCCTCCTCCTCCTCCTCCTCCTCCTCCTCCTCCTCCTTCTCATCCTCAGCACCATAAGCATCATCATTATGGTCATGGTCACCACTATCGTCACGATAATCAATAATCATCATCAGCAGCATCATCAGCATCATCATCAGCAGCATCAGCATCGCCATCAGCAATAGCAGCAGCAGCAGCAACACCGCCACCATCACCACCAACATCATCATCAGCATCGTCACCATCATCAACCGACAGCAGCCTCAGCATCGCCAGCATCAACATCATCAGCATCATCATCGTCGCCGTCGTCATCATCATCATCACCATCAGCGTCACCATCACCATCATCAGCAGCATTATCCCGTTCTCCACGGCCTGCTCCCTCCCCACTCTACCCTCCACCCTCTCCCTCCTTATCCCCCTCATCGTTTCCTCCTCCTTTTTCTCCTCCTCCTCCTCCTCATCCTGCTCCTGCTGTTCCTCCTTCACCTCCTCCTCCTCCTCCTCCTCCTCCTCTTCCTCCCCCTCCTCTCGCATGCCACACGGAGGACAGACGGCTGGAGATAGCCAGAAGAGTTCAAGAACGCAGACGTCCTAGTATCCTGTGCGGCTTCCCGGGCGCAGCGTGGATCGGCGGTGTGGCACGCGCGCAGCCCATCACAAGGTTCAGAGCGGCCCACTTCGGCCAAATCCGCAAGAGCGAGTCGTCCAGTGAGTCGTGCGGGGTCACGATCCTGCTGCGCGAGAACACCATCAGGACAAAGAGCAGAGTACGAATGTGGAGTGGAACGCCAGATCTTCGTGGTCGGTTCGCGGCTTTTCGACTCTGATGTCGCAACTTCGATCTCACCTTCATCGCATTCTACTGCTGCCCAAGATCAACAGGCCCACGCGAGGTGGGACGCATCGAGTAATTACACGACCGACAACATCATGATATTGACGGCCCAGGTCCTGAGCAGCACCCTCGCCAGGTCGATGCCCATCACCCCGCTACCGCCATGGACGCCAACGACGGTATCGGACTACAGCGTGATGGAGGGCAACTATCACAACGTCTGAATCGCACGACACCCCCAAACGTGAAACAAACGCTCCCAACGATTTCTTGCTTGCGACATCGCGCGGGCGCCGATTGAGCACGAAGGCGAGGAGGGCCGCATCTGGTAACCGAGCAGCTCAAGCCGTGCAGTTCTACAACCCAGCGAGTCGACCGTTGTGGGAAATTACAGAAGGACAGATGAGCATTACACTGGCAGGGCGGTAAGACAGCTATGCGAGAACCACTCGCTGACGGACACGAACGCAGCCCACCCCGTGGGCCCCGGTTACCACGGCGATACAAAGAGCAGGTCCGTTGGATCGACCACGTGTGCATCGTCTACGAGCGCGCGGACAGAGTCGCAAGGTTCACGCAATCGAGCAAGAGGCTGCAGGCGACCCCAGGCAAAAGGCCTCGAGACCATATCGCATACTATTTTGAGATCATGGTACAGCTGGACCACGCTACGAACGATGACGGACACAGGCGGGGCGTCTTTGGCTTGGCAGCGGCGCTGAGCAGCGAGCACGCGGCTCCCCGGTTCAGGCAAGAGGTCGAACAACAGCTACATCATATCATTGATGACAGGAAGCCCCGACGTGGGCACATACTCCACGAAGAATTCGGACATGGACGGCGGATGGAGAATGCTGGTGAGCGTATTGCAGGGCGCGGACATGAAACACTTCGAGGCGACCGACAACGCGATGCCCATCGAGTACCAGGCGCCCTGGAGATGAAGGATGACATCACGACAGCACTCAGGGACATATGGCAGGCAAATGCTGCGATGACGGGCGACGTGAACAACGCACTACGACATGAACAGCGCATTGCGACATGTTACAATATGAGGAGAGTACATGTTGAGCGAGAGCGACAACTAAGCGAGGAAGTTCACGAGGCATCACAGAGGGGAGAAGCATCACATGAGTGGAGAATATGTCGCCTGCTGGTTGCTAACGGCGTGGAGGCAAAGAGAATAATCTACTAAACATTTCCTGATGCGATACCGTCGGCATCCGAGCGCAAAGAAGCCCCGGCGCTACCACCGCAGAAAGGAGGGGCGCTCGCACGCGAGAAGGACTGCGAGACACTGGCGGTGGAGGTGCGTGTGAACGACAGCAGGCTGCCTCCCAAAATCGACGACATCACCGAGGCCGTCGACGACTGCGACCGCATCGTGCGAGGAGGCGAGCCGCTGTTCTTCGGCCCCCCCTGTCAGATGCATTTGCGCTCCTGCTCGCAGGGGGGCCGGCGCCGACGTCGACGCCATCTCATCGGCGGCGCCGCCTCCGACACCTGCAGGCGGGCTCGCCAGACATTGGATACTGGGCGCGCTGGCAAGGACAAGACAACCGATTGCATGCATGCCGAGCCCCGAAGCGCAACGGCAGAGCAAGAAGGGCGGCGATGGTCGCCGACCCATCGCGGAGTGGGCTGGCCCTGCCCCCGCGCAGGGGGTTGCTGGCCATCTCCCTGCACGCCGCGCTGGCGCTGGTGAGCGGCGCGTTAGGTGACGGCGCGCGGCGCGGGCCAGCCGGCGCGAAGGCGCGATCCTCGACTTGGGCGCCGCGGGGGGGCCATGCATGGGGGGGTGGCGAGGGCGGTTCGAAAAGGCACCCAAACGGTGCCTCAATGAGCCCCCTTGGGGCTCTGGAGGGGCCCGGCACGAAAGGGGGCCTTTTCTGACCCCCCCATTTGTGACCCCCCCCCATTACCCAGACATGCGACGTCGTGATTTTTCAGGACGGCGTCCCATGGAAGTCCAGACCCTTTCCCCGGGGCCGGTTTTTCGTCCTGAGTCGTTTTTTGACGCTCCCGAGGCCCGGTGAGGGCCCCCCGAGGCCGAAAATTAGGGGGAAAAAAAAAAACCGTCATGATTTCTTCATTGCTCGAGGGGGTCTGGGTTAAGCCACGCCCAATCGACGCGAATGGCTGGGAGGGCTTGGCTGCGCTCGGGCGGCGCGCCGGCCGGGCGGCAGGCCGCTCGTCGTTCCGGGCGCCGCGGGTCCGCGAGGGCCCCCCGGCTGCGGGGCGGCGGGGCGCGGCGGGCGCCCGGCGGCGGCAGCGCGGGGCGCTTCGCCTCCGAGGCCGAGGCGCAGCCGCGCGGCGGCGGCGCGCGCAGCAGCCCCAGACATGATGGCGTCGTAAAAAAATCAGGACGGGAGGTTTTTCGCTATTTTCGGCCCCGGGGGGCCCTCGCCGGGCCTCGGAACTGTCAAAAAAACGACTCGGGACGAAAACCCGGTCCTGGGGAAAGGGTCGGGACTTCTGGGGACGCCGTCCTGGAAAAATCAGGACGTCGCATGTCTGGGGCTGGCCTCCGGGGAGGCGGCCGCGCCGCCGAGGGCGCGGGCGCGCTTGTCAACGGGCGGGGCCCCGACGAGAGCATCGAGGAGTGGAGCGCAGCACGCCAACAACGCGGCGCCCGATGCGGCGTCGCTGGGCGCGCCGGGGGAGCGCGCGGGCCGGCGCGTCCTCGCGGCCCGGCTTGGGTCCCAATGATGTGCAACGGCCGCCGCAGTCACCAGTCAGGCCACCTGGGGCTCCTCAACTCGCTGCAACCTGCGGGCGTTAGGGTGTTCCAACCTGCTTTTGCCTGGATCACCAGGAAGAACTTCGAGCACCAAGAGAGTGCCGAAACTGGAGGGTGTTTCACGTGTCGGGCCCTGGGAGGCGATACTCGTTCGGTACTGCTTCGATAATGCCCTGGGTGCTCGAACGGCATGATTTATGGGATCTGGTCCTTATGCGCGATGGGAGCAACAGAATGCGAGCGCTAAGGATCCTGGCCAACGTAGTGCCTCGGCGCCATCGGGGCGGCATTCCCCGAAGCGGCGGAAGGCGAGCGGATCACCGACATGCTGCCCCTTGCCGCAGAAGGTCTGGTCTCGGGCTCCGAGCTCCAGGCTTCGGTCACCTCCGCATGGGCGGAGGGACTGGGCGGGTGCTGGAACACCGCAATCGGCGGGTCCAGCGCGCTGCGGGCCGCACCGGTGCCGTTTTGGACGAGGACCGGGGCCTCGGGAGCGCGGGCTCATCGTTGTTGCACGAGGGACCTCGGCCTCAGGAAAGGGGCGTGGGGGGGGCGATGCATGCGGCCGGGATGTGGGGGGGTCCCTGATTTGAAGACAGGAAGCTTCCCAGGCAGTCCTGCAAAATGCACGGTGGTGCGGCGACGCCCAGGGAGGATGGTCGGGTGATGGGCTATTGTTGAAAGTTGGAGTAAGTGGCCCCGTAAGCCGCCTACGTCCAGCGGGCTGGTGGGACTTGCATCGGTTGGGCGTTGGGTCGGTCAGGGTGTCAAATTTGGTCGGGGTGACATCCGTTCGTTGCGTTCCCGCTCCTCTTCCTCCTCCTCCTCCTCCTGCTCCTTCCTTCTGCTCCTGCTCCATTATCCTCCTCCTCCTCCTCCTCCTCCTCCTCTGGACCAAACGCGCCTCCTCGTCCCCCTCTAGCCGTCCTCGCGAGGCGCACGCTCAGCAGCGGCGGGGCGCCGCGGAGGAGGCGGCGGTGTACTTCCTGGGCAAGGCCGTGTTCCCGAAGGGGTGGCGGCAGCTGCTGGACCTGCTGCGCAGCGGCGCGCTGGGCGACGCGGGCGACGTGCGCATCGACGGGCGCCTTCTGGGAGGCGGAGGGAAGGGGAAAGGGGGGGTGGGGGGAGGAACGGGAGGCAAAGGATGGAGGGAGGGAAGGAGGGGAGGGAGGGTTTGGGGGGAACGAGGGAGGGAAGGAGGGAGGGGGGAGGAGGAGGAGGAGGAGGAGGAGGAGGAGGAGGAGGAGGAGGAGGAGGAGGACCAGTGGAAACCCGAGAGTCATCAACGATGTTGGAATTAACCTTCCCGCGAGCTCCATTTTCATAGGCCCGTGCAACGGTTCATTTCCATTGAGGGAACGGCCTCGCTGGAAGACAACAGCTTGAAGATCCTGAAGCGTGCCAAAACATTGTTCTCGGGATTTCAACGCCACGTATCAACCTGACTGCTGCGTCTTGATGATCCAGAGTTTTGCCAGAACGCCGTTTTTGGGATTCCAACACAGCGAATCAACATAACAGTTGCGCCCGCATAGTCCTGAACCCTTCAAAACGCCATTTCTGTTTCGCTGATCACGGGAACCCGTGAAAATCTTGCAAATTTTAAAATCCGAATGCGCGCGGCGCTAAGGCGAGAGCCACATGTTGAAAACGACCCGCCCTCAATCCGTGAAACTCTTGCAGTGTTTTAAGACGAGTGTGCGCGGCGCTAAGGCGAGAGCCACAGTTTGAAAACGACCCGCCTTCAATCCGTGAAGCTCTTGCAAATTTTAAAGTCCGAATGCGCGCGGCGCTAAGGCGAGAGCCACATGTTGAAAACGACCCGCCCTCAATCCGTGAAGCCCTTGCAATTTTTTAAGACGAATGCGCGCGGCGCTGAGGCGAGAACCACATGTTGAAAACGACCCGCTTTCAATCCGTGAAGCTCTTGCAATTTTTAAGACGAGTGTGCGCCGCGCTAAGGCGAGAGCCACGGTTTGAAAGCGATCCGCCCTCCATCTATGAAACTGTTGTCACGGTTTAAGCTTCAGAGTCATAGATGGTGAGGAAGTCTCGGGCGAAACGCCCGGCTCGCCTAAAAACTGGTCTCGGGGTGCGACAGGGAGGAGTAATCCAGAAGGAGAAGGAATGGAGGAGGAGGAGGAGGAGGAGGAGGAGGAGGAGGAGGAGGACGAGGGTGAGCCCAGGCTGGCCCAAGAGTTTGACAGTTGCCATCGCGTCATCAGAGAACCGCTCAAGACAGTTGAGGCGAAAGCTGAGTATTGGACTAGGTTCTGGCGCCCGAAGGACCCCGAGGACCGCCCTAGAGGGAGACCTCAAGAGGAGCCCTGGTGGCCCGAGTTCAGGCAGCTCGCGCAGGCAGATTTTGCTGAGGCTGCCCCTCTCACTAGTGAAAAGCTCGGGGCAGGCCTCAAGGCCTTTAGGCACAGCGTAGGTATGGGCCTCGATTGCCAGAACCCCAGATGGTGGGCCCAAGTTCCCGAAGAAGGCCAGCAACAGCTGCTGCATGTCCTGCAGAGTGTCGAGCAGTGTTTAGAATGGCCTGTGCAAGTAGAGGATAATGTGGTCCAATTAAATTATAAGTCAGAGACAGCTGACCGCCCCATAACTCTGACCCAGGCCTTATATAGGACCTGGTCGGTGCTGCGCAGAGGAGAAATCGCCAGGTGGGCCGAGGAGGGGGTTGAGTTTTGGGATCGGGCGGTGCGAAGGAGTTCCCCACTTAGAGCGGCCCTCTTGCGCCAGCTCCGTCTGGAAGTTGCCAGTGTCCAGGGTTTTTCCTGGTTGGAGATCCTCTGGGACCTGGAAAAGTTTTACGGTCATCTCCAGTGCGGTGAAATCTTCAGGTTAGCCAAAATCGCGGGGTACCCTATGGGCCCACTTTTTTTGGTCATGCAGATCCACTTTAGCCCTCGGAGGTTGCGAGCCGAAGGGGGCCTGAGTGAAATCATCATCCCGTTTAACGGTCTGCTTGCTGGTTGTAACCAGTCGGTGGACATCTCGCGAGTTTCACTGTGGGAGATCCTGAATGAGTTGCATGCGAAGTATAGGCCGCTGCAAGTGGACACCTGGGTAGATGATATGTCCCAACGCATGTTCGGGCACAGCCGTCTCGTCCAGGAGCGTTCAGCGCAGGTGGCCTCTGCACGAGTTGCGAAATGTTCCGCCAGCGGTCTTGCCATTTCACATAAAAGCACCGTCGTTTCCAACCCGCCAGAGCTCGGAGAGAGAGTTGCCGAGGCTCTTAGACCCAAGGGAATTAAGCTCCAGACCTCGCAGCGAGTCAAAGATCTTGGGGTGGATGGGTCGTCGTCTCGTCGTTCGGTCGGCACGATGAAGAAACGACTCTCGGCTGCTAGAGGTAGAGGCAACATGATTGCTCAAGTTGCTAAGTCAAACCCGCAAGCTGCTAAGTTAGGTAAAACTGGTTTTCTCCCACAGGCCACGTGGGGTTTTGAAGGCATGGGGTTAGCACCGTCAACCCTCCAAAAGCTCCGTTCCCAGGTGTCTGGGCTCACGGGGATAAGGAGGGAGGGGGGCTGTGCCACCATTGCCATCCGTCTTGCTCTGTCCTCGAAGCAAGACCCGCTCGTTTTTGGCAGGATGCAGATTTTGAGACGTGGGTAGATATGTTGCCTGCGATTGTGGTCGACGCTCGTGCACCGCTGAGCCTGGCCTGGAAAAAGTTGCGGCGTGAATTGAGTCAGGCCAAGTCCAGGTGGGGGAGAATCAAGGGCCCCATGGGGGCCGTCGTCGCCAACCTGCTGGACCTCGGCTGGGAAGCTCCAGAACCCTGGCTCTGGGTCGACCCCGTGGACGGAGAGGCCTTTGATCTGTTGGAGGGAGACGCCGATCGTCTCGTTGAGCTTGCCTTGGGATGTGCTGTCGAGGCTAAGCCATGGCATATGGCCAGCCAGCATTATCACGGTGGGGGGGCTGAGCGGGGGGTGGACTCAACTGTTGCGCTCAGGCATCTCAGCAGGCTCAAGAGCCGTCAGGAATATGATAAAGCAGCTGTGCTCCAGATGGTTTTCACGGGGGCCTCGTGGCCCAACCCCAGGAGGTTTGGACAGGAAGGGGAGGAGAGGGGGTGCGGAGGCCGCAAGGCGGGAGGATCCAGGAGACCAGGACCTGGATTCGGCCTCCCTCCTCCAGGCTGCAGGCGAGGCCATCGTGTCGGTGGCCGTTCCTCCCTCGCTCCCTCCTGCGGCTGCTGCTGCTGGGACCTTGCCCCCTGCGGACGATTTCGACCGCGTGTGTGACCTCGCCGCGCAAGAGGATGAGCTGTTTTGCCAGCCGTGTGGAGAGCCAGAGGACTGGGGACGTGGGAACCCTGGCCTGCCCATTGCTGGCCCCGCCCCCAAGACCTCCGCCTGCCCCCGATGTGGAGCCCTGGAGGAGACACTGTTTCACCGGACGTGGGATTGTCTCAAGAATGCCGACATTCCTGGGGCCCATCTTGAGCTTCTGGAGGTGGCGCGTGCGGGTGTAGAGGCGGCCCCTATTTTCTGGCTTCGAGGTCCCCCCCCCAACGCCCTGGACCCAGGAGATATCGGATGCTGTGACCGAGTCGTCTCCCGTGTATTCGGCCTCCCTGCAGGATGGCCTTTTCAAGCTTGAGGGGGGGGGGGGGGGGGGGGGGGGGGGGCGTGGCTGGTTCGGATGGGTCGGGGGGCAAGTACTCGTCGGAGCCTCGCCTGCGCCGTTGTGCCTGGGGCTTCAGTGTTACCAGAGACTTCAGGCTTGTGGCGTGGGGGCGGGCCCCCCCCCCTGGTTTCAAGCAGACTGTCCCTTGCTCTGAATTGCGGGGGGCCACAGAAGTGCTCAGGCACACTGAGGGTGATGTTGACCTGGCCGTCGATTCTGCGTGTGTGGTCAAGGCCTTTTGGAAGGGCCCAGGTCATCGCCACGCGACCAATCGTTTTGCTTGGAAGGAGTTCTGGCGAGTAGCGGCTGGCCGAAATGTCAGAATGATCAAGGTCAAATCCCATGCTCGGCCTGCGGATGTTGGAGAGACCCTCTGGCGAGCGAATGGGGCGGCGGACGCTGGCGCTGAAGAGAGTGCGCGCCAGTGTCAGGTCCCTCCCGAGGCGATTAGACGCCTCATCGAGGCTGACCGCCTCGCCCTTCAGGTTCAGGAGCACTTGTTGGCGGTGGCCCACTCCATCTGCACGCAGGCGCGTGCGCTCTATGGGCCCTCGTCTCGTGCTGCTAGGATTGCTCAGCAGAAGGAGCGGAGGAGGGAGACGGCGGCGGCGGTGGAGGAGGCTCGCCGCAGGTCGTCCCACGCTCTCTTCCGCGACCGCCAAGGCTGGCGATGCTTGGAGTGCGGGACCAGGGCTGAGGTTGGGCGGGAGCTGGAGTGGTTGGGTGGGGAGTGTGCGGGTAAGCTTGAGTCCCTGCACCCGTCTCGCCGACTTAATGTCACGAGGGGTGCGTTTTGGTGTGGAGTGCGTGGGAGTTGCGGGGCCCGTTCTCGAGGGGGAAAGGGCCCCGTTAAAGTGCAGGAGCTGACCAAGGCCTGCGGTGCGGGCCCATGACTCGGGGAGAGTGGGGGGCTCGTGTAATTAAGGCCTTGGCCGCGGGCCGTTTGCCACCAGGCTACAACGCCTGGCCAGACGAATCGGGGTGATTTTCCGATTCCGTTGAATCCTCGGTTTTCGAATCGCTTCGTTCGCCGTGCCCGATCAGAGGAGCTCGCGGTGGATTCCCGAAGAAGAAGAAAAGGAGGAGGAGGAGGAGGAGGAGGAGGAGGGGGAAGAGGTGGAGGAGGAGATGGAGTACGGGGAGGAGGGAGAGGAGGAGGAGGAGGATGAGGAGGAGGAGGAGGAGGAAGAAGAGGAAGAGAGGGAGGAGGAAGAGACTGAATGACGAGGACGATGGCGAGGACGAGGAGGACGATGAAGAAGAAGAAGAAGAGCATGCTGAAAAAAAAACAAAAGGATGATGATGCGGATGTTGACGATGCTGATGAGGATGTTGATGATAATAATAATGCTGTTGATGATTATTGGTAGCCGTAGTATTAGCATGATGATGATTACGATGATGATGTTGATGATGATGATGATGATGATGATGTGTCTGATGATTACGATCATGTTGATGATGATTATGACGAGTATGGTGATAATGACGATGATGGTGTTGATGATGATGCTGATGATGACGATGGTGAAGCTGAAGATGGAGATGGAAATGTGAATGACTATGACGAATGTGATGCTGATGGTGATGGCGATGACGATGGCGATGGTGGAGATTATAATGATGAATATGATGAGGATGATGACGATGATGATGGTGGTGATGGTGCTGATGATGACGATGCTGATGTGGTGATGATGATGATGATGATAGTGATGACGTTGGTGATGATGATGCTGATGCTGATGCTGGTGCTGCTGCTGGTTTTGATGATGATGATGATGGTGATGATGATGGTGATGATGATGATGATGAGGTTGAGGTTGGGGATGAGGTCAAGTGTAAAACCAAGAGCCATCAACGATGTTGGAATTAACCCTCCCTCCAAGCTCCCTCTTCATAGGCCCCCACAACGTTTCATTTCCATTGAGGGAACTGCCTCGCTGGAAGACAACAGTTTGAAGATCCTGAAGCATGCCAAAGCATTGTTCTCGGGATTTCTACGCCACGCATCAACCTGTCTGCTGCGTCGTGACGATCCGGACTCGCGCCAGAGCGCTATTTTTGGGACTTCAACACAGCGAATCAACATAGTTGTTGCGCCCGCATAGTCCTGAATCCTTCCAAAACGCCATTTCTGGTATGTTGATCATCGGAATCCGTGAAGCTCTTGCAAATTTTGAAGACGAATGCGCGCGGCGCTAAGGCGAGAGCCACATTTTGAAAAGGAGCCGCCCTCAATCCGCGAAGCTCTTGCAATTTGTGTAAACGAATGTGCCTGGCGCTAAGGCCGGAGCCACATTATAAAAACCACCCGCCCTCAATCCGTGAAACTCTTGCAAATGCGTTTTAAACGAATGTGCGCGGCGCTGAGGCGAGAGCCACATTTTGAAAACCACGCGCCCTCAATCCGTGAAGCACGTGCAATTTTTTAAGACGAATGTGCGCGGCGCTAAGGCGAGAGCCACATGTTGAAAACGACTCGCCCTCCATGTGCGAAATTGATGCCAAATTTTAAGCTTCAGAATCATAAATGGTGAGGAAGTCCAAGGCGAAACATCCGTCCCGCCCTAAAAACTGGCCTCGAGGTGCGAAAGGAGTTGAGGACGATGATGATGCTTATGATGCTGCTGATGATGATGATGATGATGACGATGATGGTGATGGTGGTGCTGCTGCTGATAATGGTGGTGATGAGGTTGATGATGAAGATGGCCCTGCTGACGATGCTTAAAACAATACCCATAATGATATTCATGCTTCTGGTCATGCTAGTGCTAATGCCGACGCTGCTGATGATGATGATGGTGATGATGATGAGGAGGAGGAGGATGGGGATGAGGATGATGCTGATGATGATGATGGTGATGGTGATGGCAATGGTGATGGTGATAATGTTGATGATGATGATCATGATGATGATGATGATCATGATGATGATGATGATGATGATGATGATGATGATGATGATGATGATGATGATGATGATGATCATGATGATGATGATGATGATGATGGTGATGATGATGATGATGATGATGATGATGATGATGATGATGGCGAGGATGATGGTGATGATGATGATGATGATGATGATGATGATGATGATGATGATGATGATGATCCGTAAGGGTTTCGCCCCCTGCCGCCGGCCCCCTCTCTCGGAGAATGGGCCATGGAAGAGCGAAGTCATGAGGCTTTGGCTTCGCCGTGAAGCAGTGTCGGGACCTGTTTGTTTTTCGATCCTGACTGCTAGGAAGTTTGTAGTTTCACATAGATATATGATTATATAAAATATAATCTAGACTGTCCTGGAGGATCCAGGAAATCCTGCAGCCCTTTGTTGCTCGAGGAAAAGAGCGACCCTCACCTCCCCCCTTTCTCCGCGAGGGGGGTGGGTGCGCGTGCATGGTAGCGGAGCTCGCTTGAGGATCGCGGGCCGCTCCGCACCCCGGCGAGCTCAAGGAGCCCCTCAGCAGCTGGCGGGCTGATCCACGCGAGCGCCGAGAGGACCCCTTGCTAGTCAGAGCTGCGGTCAGACCCGCGCTCTGACAGTGGAGGCCAAGCAGCCACGGAGAAGGCCAAGAAGCCGAACAAGCGAGGAGGCAGGTCGGCGGACACGCGTCAGCACCGCGAGCTCCGAGGGACCGCCTTTAGGAAGCTCAAGGCGTGCGGCAGCAGAGCGCAGCTCACGCAGGAGGAGCGAGCAGCGGTGACGAGGCAGCTGAGAAGCGACATCGAGAGGATAGGGAAGCGTGTCAGCGACGTGCTAGACTATCAAGATGGAGCAGCAGCTGCAGCAACTGGTCGATCAAGTTCAGAGGCTGACGACGGAGAGTCAGAACATGAGACAGGAACTTCAGAACAGAGACGTGACGATCGCAGAGATGCGAGGTCAGCTTCAAGCTCAGCAACAGGCTCAGCAGCAGCGGGTAGCCCCGCGCGGCGAGATGATGGATCCGAAGATTCTTCACAAGGTGAAGCCGTTCGACGGCCACAGGGCGAGTTGGAAGACGTTCAGTTTCCAGTACAGAGCGTACCTGATCGCCCAGGATCGAAGGTACCGAGATCTTCTGGAAAGATGCGAGGACGGAGCCCAGGAGGTGGACAACGTCAACCTGGGCGCGCAGGAGGAAGAGCTAAGCACGCAGTTGTACTACGGCCTGGTCCTGGCGATGCCCGAGGACTCAGTAGGCGAGCTGATCGTGAGGAACAGCCCAGTAGGAGAAGGAGCCGAGTGTTGGAGGAAACTTCAGAAGGAGTACAACCCGAGCGAGGCAGGAAACGTGCTGGCGATGTGGACCAAGCTCACGGACACGAAGTTCGACGCCAAAGAAGACGTGATGGTGAGCATCAGCAAGCTGGACGAGGACATGACAAGGTACCAGAAGATGGCAGGAGAACCAGTCTCGGACCTGATCAAGCGAGGCATCCTTACAAAGGCGCTGAAGGATCACGACGAGCTGCAGAAGCACGTGTTTCGGAACAGCAGTCGGCTAAGTACGTACGAGCTCCTGAGAGCCGAGGTGGTGTCGGCGTTGATGGCAGAGCGAGCGGTTCAGGACGACCCGATGGAGATAGGCGCGCTGAAGGGCGGAAAGAGACCGTGGAAAGGCCGCGGCAAAGGGAAAGACGGCAAGGGCAAGGAGAGGCCACCGAATCCCGACGCCGAGATCGAGTGCCACTACTGTCACAAGAAGGGCCACCGCAGCGCAAACTGCCGAAAGCGGATCGCCGACGAGAAGAATACATCCGAGAAGGACAAGAAGGACAAGAAGCAGCTCCGAAAAGAGAAGGGAAAAGAAAAGAAGAAGATCGGGGCAGCGGCAGTCAGGGAGCTCGAAAGGTTACGACAGGCAGGAGTGGGCACAGGAACAAGTTCGATAGCACCTACACAACAGATGTTGGGAAGTCAAGGAAGCGCCGACAGCGCGATGACTCAGCAGGTGCTGCGCCCAGTCAACTGCGCGCTGCAAGCGAAGATGATTCTGGCCCTGAGGGCAGAGGTCTCAAGAAGCGCAGCCACACGATCGACTGGAAGTACTGCTTGCCTAGCTACCACCAATATGTCTGCTGCTCTTGCAAGAAGACCTTTGAAGGATGGCGATGGCACTTCGATCAGTGGAAGCTGGACTACTGTGCCGCGTGTGCCGAGTACTGCCTGGACAACTGGTTCAAGGACGAGGAAGAGCCAGACGACAACGAGAAGCCAAGACCAAAGAAGCACAAGAAAGACTATCAGTAAGTGCTGCGATGTGCCAGCTGCGGTGAGCCCCGCGCTGGCCGGCCCCAGGCATGTCACCGTCGCTGGTCTTCGGCCCGTGGATGAAGATCAGAGCCCTGCAGATGACCGATTGCGGTTAGCCCCGCTTCGGAATGCGATCATGCTCGACTCAGGTGCGCAGATCAGTGCGATACCGAGATCACAGGTGACCAAGCATAACTACACGCCGACGGACAGCAACGTTGTCGGCTTGAAGGGCATAGGAGGCGAGGAGATCGAGAGGTACGGCCACGTGGAGCTGAACCTATCCCGAGGAGGAGAGGTTATTCAAGTCGGTGCAGAGGTTGCCGATGTGGAGTACCCAGTTGTGGCTACAGATGCTGTAGTACAACGTGGTCAGAGTGTTCTTCATAGCCCTGCAGGTCACTGGATCATCAACGGTACCGTCGAGCCACCTGACGGAGCTGAGTTCGTACCTCTACGGCGTCACCAAGGCAACTACTACTTAGAGTACGATCACATCATCGACGGCCAGACTCAACCAGAAGCTTCAAAGGTAGCTGCGGTACGAAAGACGCTACCGAGGAAGGTACCAGCTGAACAGGAAGCTGGATCTTTGCCGAAGGTTCTAGGTCCTGAAGCTGATGAGACCACAACTGTGCCAACGAGAGTGTTGAAGACTCCTCACCAACCTAGTGCTGCGGAGAGAGCCGCGCACGAAGGGCATCATCTACCTTTTCGGCCTTGGTGTCCCATCTGCGTGCAGGCTCGAGCAGACGATGACCCACACCACGCTCAGGAACCAGCTGATGAGAACAAGATCCCGAAGGTCATGTTCGACATCTTTTACGTAGGGACGGACCAGCTGGCTGCGAAGTACAAGCTTAAAGGAGGTTACTTCAGCATCAGGGAGAAGATGTCGGTCACGAAGGCCGAGCTAGACCAAGCGGTCTCTGTCTTGAATGTTATCGACTGTAAGATCTTGGCTCAGGCGACGTTGTACGCGAACAAGGAGACGGATGACTACAAGGTGTCCTTCCTGCTAGGCGTGCTGGAAGCTTGGGGCCACACAACAGTCATACTTCAGACAGACCAGGAGCCTGCCACCATGGCTCTGGCGCAGGCAGTTCGAGATCGCAGATCACACTCAACCTTGGTGCGGGGATCACCGCCCTTTTCCAAGCAAAGTGCAGGCTACGCTGAAGGAGCTAACAAGCTAGCAGCTGGTCTACTTCGAGCCTACAAGCTGAAGCTGGAGCACAAGCTGGGCTGTGAGACCAAGATGACGGATCCGATCGTGCCATGGCTTGTGAACTCAGTGGGGTGGATGATTACCAGATTCCAGCCTCGCAGTCACGGAGGTTCCTCCTACAAGATGCTCTACGGCAAGGAGTACAACGGCGAGATTGCGGAGATGGGTGAGCAGGTCTGGTATCGGATCTCAGCCAGAGTTGCCGCGGGACGTGGCAAATGGGAAGCCCGCTTCGCAAAAGGAATCTGGGTTGGTAAGAGTGAGCTGGACGATACACATCTCGTGATCGATCCTGAACGTGGAGTGCAGAAGGTCAGAACGGTGCGAAGGATGCCTGAGGAGTTCAGATGGCAGCCCGAGCTCATCCAGCACATCAGGGTGACGCCCTGGAAGCAGACGCCCGACAAGAGTTCAGGAACGATCGGACGCAGCATGTACATCACGGAGCGCATGATCGATGCTCATGGTCCTACTGACGAGTGCAGGAAGTGCAGTACAGGATACGGTTCGCATTCGGCAGCCTGCCGACAGCGTTTCGAGACCATTCAGGCCGACTTGCTGCGCGAGAAGTTGGCGAAGGACCCTGTGGCCCCTGAGGCTACAGTCGTGGTGCCAGCACCGGCTGCGGGTAGCCCCGCGCCTGGAGCCGCACCAGGAGGAGCAGCGGCATCAAGCAGCAGTGAGGTTGCGGTGAGCCCCGCACCTGCTGCCAGCGACGTAGCTATGGTCCCTGGCCCAGGAGAGGCTGAGGTGCAGACAGCCATGGACACGGAGAGTGGCGAGCTCAGGAGCGACTTTCGGCGAAGTGCCCCAGGTGAAGTTCGTGAAGGAGCTGAGGTCAAGAAGCCCAGGGTAGCAAGCATTGGGCATCTCTCTGTCTGTGAGTTGGCAGTCTGCGAGGAGGGCTACGACGAGAGCTTCGACCCCATGTGGGATCCACACCCAAAGCGCAGTGCGAGATGTTCCGAGAGGTGTGAGAAGCACTCATCACGATGCCAGCTCCGAGAATGCCACCAAGCTGAGTGTGCATGCAGGAGATGTTTGATGAGCCACATTGGCACAATCAGGAGCCACTTCGGAGATCCTGAGGATCAGCAGGTGGAGCAGATGGTTGAGGTGAGCGCCGAGCTGCATGAGAAAGACCAGTGGAGCCCAAAGACGATACACTACGATTACTATACTGGAGAGCCTCTGGATGAGGACCTGTATCAGAAGGGTCGCGACGACGAGCTGCAAGCCATGAAGGACTACGGGGTCTACGTGGAAGTGGCGACATCGACGGCGACTGACGGCAAGCACATTGGAGGTTTCCCGATAGCCCACATGAAAGAAGGAAAGGTTAGGTGGAGGTTCGTAGCCACCGAGGTGAACAAGTACGAGGTCAGGGAGGATAACCACCAAGGCACGCCCCCGCTAATGATTGTCAGAGCGACGCTGAGCCGTGCCGCTTCAAGTCCAACTTCCAGCGGGCAGCACCTGCGGAAGATACAAGTCTGGGACGTCAGGAAGGATTTCTTCAACGCTGACTTAGACGAGACGATCTACGTGCATCCTGGGAGAGAGCTGTGTCCGCCTGGAAGGTGCTGGTGGTTACGCAAGGCCATGAACGGTTCCAGGAAGGCGTCGCAGATGTGGGGTGAGCTTGTGAGAACTACTATGGACGACGGCCATTGGGAATGCTTGGTTGGAACTCCTAACGTGTTCTACTTACCTGCTAGCCCCAACACAGCCCCCTTCGACGAGGATAGCACAGCGATCTGCCATGGCGATGACTTTCTTGCTGAAGGCTACGACGAGCAGCTGGACGAGCTGGACGAGTTGTTGAAGCAGCAGTTTGAGGTCACGGCCAGCGCCAGACTTGGACCAGGAGCGGTGGGGCAGACTACATACCTCAAGAGGACGATCGGCTACACCGACAAGTTGCCAGGTTGCGAGGAGCCAGGTTTCTTCTGGACTGCCGATCCCAAGCATGTGGACTTCATGATCAAGTGGACGCAGAAGCGAGGTTGTAACCAGCTCCCACTCCAGGAACGAAAGCTACAGGACAAGGCCGACGAGACAGCCTAGACCTTCTTTCCAAGGATCGTGCTCGAGAAGTGGCGGGTGCAGCTGGCACCGCTCTTTACCTTTCTTCGGACAGGCCCGACACGATGTACGCCAGCAAGACAGCGATGCAGCACGTCTCCAACCCGAACGTCTTGATGCATGCGCGTGTTCAGCGGCTTGGAAGGTACTACGAAGGACAGCCTGTGTTGGTCTGGTGTTACCCACTTCAAGGTACTCCTGAAGGCATTCGTGTAGATGGTGACGCGGATTGGGCACCTACGAGTGAACTACAGCGGCGATCTACCAGTGGAGGAGCTGTGAGGTATGGTGACCACACTTGGGACTGCTACTCAGTGACGCAGAGTACGATAGCCCTAAGTTCAGGGGAATCCGAGATGTATGCTACGGGAAGTGCGACAGCCAGAGGACTTCAGTGTAAGACTTTCCTGATCGAGACCCAGAGGCCCTGCAAC